TTCAAAGATTTTATAATATAAATTATAGCTAATATTTTTATTAAAAAAATTATCTTCTTTTTTATTATTTGTTTTATTATTCTTACGACTATCTTAAGCAAAATCGATATTCAGATACAAATAAAAAATTAATCAAACTGTGTGTTTCATATATATTAATTAGTATGAAATATTATAATTTACAAATTTATACGAATTGATTTTCATTATTTTAAATATATATAATCAACAATGCTCTAACTGAACGTAATTACTTAATCTAATCTTGAATTTATTTTAAACTGATCCTAAAAAAACTTCAATTATTTATTTATTATCATTTTTATTTTCTGATATCTCCAAATGCATCTCTAATAATGTGTTTGATGCCTTTGTTTTTAATATTTTGCATCCAAATTGACTTTTTACAAATGCTGTTGTTTCTAAAAGTTATGATTTAGGCAATACTAATTTAAATAAAAAATTATTTATATACATTGTTTAATATCAAATGTGTACACTACTTTATTTTCTTCTTTCCTTTTTTACTTAAAACGTAGTTAATATTGAATATTTTCAATTTAATAATCGCTGAAAAAATACCTTTAACAATCTTTTTGCATTTCTAATTATTCATCATAAAGTTATAATTCTGATCTAAATTAAACAGGAGCAGTAGTCTCATAAATTTTTTTAATTTTCTCTTCTATAGATAATGAATTCTAATTTAATTGTTTAGACATCGAATTAGCAATTATAATTAAAAATTATTTTTTTTAATGAATCAGATATCAAATTTACATTAGTCTTATTAATAGAATTCAAAATATATTATAATGACAATTAAAAAATTTAATTATTTCTATAAATATTATAAACATTAAAAGGTTCCTTGCGCTTTGTAAGTAAATATTTACTAATAAGAATAAATATTAATTAATTATTATTCATTATTATTAAACTAAACTAATTTTTCTGAATGATAATTTAGAAATTAAATAATTTAATGTAATTAAATTGGATTTTAATAAGGTTTCATTCAATAAACACCCTCAACATTGTTTTGGGATTGTTACTTTATTTATAGAATATCAATTAATTAGGATCATTGATATTATTGGTGATTAATGGGATGGTATTTTTGACTGGAATATTGATATTGAAAAAACAATTAATAAAAAAGAGTCATTTACAACAATTAATAATTGTAATATTTAGCATTCAAATTTCCTACAGTTGTTTTCTAAATCGTGAATTAAATGTGTAAAGTTATTTATTACTAAAATTTTAAGAAGCTTAAATTATCAAAAAATAATAAAGAACAATTAGTATTATTTGTCATATTGTTTACAATTCAGTTTTATTTTCGTTATTAATAATTCACAATGAGAATGTAATTTTATACTTTTTAATACTCTATTGTACTTTAATAATGATTTCTAAAAATAAGTTGAATTTATAACAGTAAATGCAAGAGTTTGAATTACCTTCACATTTAACAAAGCAAACACAAAGAAATTCAGAAATAATAAATTTAGTTCAAGATACTATAAGTAATTAATGGATGATTAGATTACAAAATATTCCAGTAGGAATTATGATAATAAAAAAAGAGAATTTATAAATAACATTTAAAAATTAATCGCTTTTGCAAATGTTCGATGGTGTAAAGGATGTTTAATCTTATTTAATGAATGAAATGTAATTTAAATTATAGATAAAGAGGAAGAGAAAACAAGTGAGAGAATCTAGTATTAGAGTACCAAAATAACAAAATTTTTTATAGAGCAATGGTATTCCTTAATTTTATAGCTCTCGTAATATAATGAGTTTATAAAAGATATCAAATACTTTAAAAAGTATTCTTGCAGAATTATAGAATGGAAATTTGGATTAGTATTTTTCAAAAGAGAATCATATAGAATTAATAGGATAAGTTTAGAAGAATAAAGAATCAGAGTTAATAGAAGATGATAATATTCGTAAAATTTAATGTAAGATATTTTGTGGTTCAAATGATTAAGAATTCCTAATAATAATGGATGATATATCATTACAAAGTTATTTGCAAAAATTGGAGACAAGAGAAAAATTCTAAGTTCGTATAATAGATTCATTTTCTCATGAATTGAGAACTCCTTTAAATAGTGCAAAATTATTTTTAGATGCTCTACTAAATGATCCAAGAATAAATGATTCTTAGAAAACTAATTGCATATAACCAGCAGCAAATGCTTTAAAGTTATAAGCATACTTAATAAGAGATATAATTGATTTTACATAATATCATTCACATATCATAAAGTATAATATTGAAGAATTTAATTTTGAAAATATCATATAAGAGATAAATGATATTTTTAAGCCAATATGTTAAATAAAGAACTTGGGATTACATATAAATGTAAAAAATTCAGTTCCTACTTTGATTCATTCTGACTTTGATAGAATAATGTAAATATTGGTGAATGTAATATAAAATTCAATAAAATATTCTGAGAAAGGATTAATAACATTGGAAATATCTAGTAATGATAAGATGTTAACATTTTGTATAAAAGATTAAGGAGTGGGTATTCCATCATATAGATTGAATAGAATTTAATAGTTTTTAAATTAATATACATAGAGTAGAGATTTTAGTAGTTAAGATGAATGGGAAGGTTTTGGATTATTGGTTAGTTAGATGAATTTATTGAAATTGGCACCATAGAATAAAAGTTAATTAAGAATATCCTCATTAGGTGTATAATAAGGATGTTAAGTGATTTTTACGATAAGAACAATATAATCAGTAAATTCATAGTTGATAAGAGGAAATACCTAATAAAGAATGAGTTTGAAAGGTGCATTTACTGTTCCTGATTTATGTATGGGAATATAAGGAATATTGATAGTGAATAATGCTAATTAAGAGAATAGTCTATAACAAATTCCAATTCGATAGTAATAATCGGTGGCAAAGTACTTTAAGGGTCAACAATCAAGTGAAGGATAGAATTAAAGTATTTGGGAGGAGACAGATCTGATAGATGAATAGGATTAAGAAAATAATAGAAATCCTGAGAATAATTTATAAAAATTAAATAGCATAAGTAGGAAGACAACTTTAATAGTAACAAATATTGATATGAAAGATAAATAACCTAAAAGAAGAAAGTAGTCATCATTTAGTATATCAGATTTAGATGTATCTTCTAATATGAGATCAAATAATTTAATATCTAGATTGATACAAAGAGAAGAAAAAGAAATGGAAATGAAGGAACAATTTCTAAATCTTCGATTTCGATGTAAGTGTGCACGTATTTTGAGTGTAGATGATGATATATTTAATTAGAAAGCATTATAAGTAATAATTAGTTAGATGGGTTTTCGATTGCAAATCGTATATAATTTGATTAAATTTAGGCATACAATGGATAGTAAGCAATTGAAATAATCTAGAAGACAGATAAATGTTCTGAAAGCTGTGAATTATTTTATTTTATATTAATGGATTGTTAAATGCCAATTATGGATGGCTGGACAACTACAAAGCTTTTAATGAACATGATAAGATAAAAAATCATACCTGATATTCCTATTATTGGATTAACAGCTTTTAATTCGACTGAAGATATTAATAAATGTATAGATGTTGGAATGAGAGAAGTATTTACTAAACCTTTGAATATCACTTTACTTAAGTAAACATTACTAAAAATAATCAAATGATTATCTTATTCGCATATTATCATTACTATAAACTAATCTATTAAATTTATACAAAAACCTTATAATTATTATTATTATTATTATTATTATTATTATTATTATTATTATTATTATTATCCGTTAATATGAGTTTTAGAGATTTAGAAAATCCAGAATAAGCTATATTTATTTCTTAAGATTTACTTAATGAATCCTTTTCTTAAATATCTTAAGAATAAAATGCAGATCAATAATAAGATTTTGCTAATAATAATGAAAATTATCCTTAATTCAGTCAAACTCAAAATTCTCACATTTTATCTGAAATTATTAATACCCCATCCTAACCTAAATTATAAATTAAGAAATCTACTTTACTTCCTTAATCTGGTGGACTATTTACATATCTTATTGATAATCAAAGTAGAATATATGATATCTTTTAAAATTTCCTACATAGATTATTTCAATATTATTTTATCAAAAAAGTAATAGATTAGAATATTGTCTAAAATTATATTGATTTACAAGCAGTAAAAAGGAAACTTAATTATGTTCAATAAGTTTATAATTAAACATTTGGTGCTTTGAAAAATAGCATTTAATATTATTAAGATAAGATATTAATATTAACATCAGAAATAGATAAAGAAGATCCATATTCTTTGTTAACATAACATGAAATTGATTTAAGAAGAGGATTACATGATTTCTATTAATTCATAGATTCAGAAGACTTGCTTACTTCCAGCAAAGGTATGGGAGGTAGCTAAAATATGTATATATGTTATAATATTATTATAATATAGTAGCTAATATAAAACAATATAAATTGAAGTTTTTAATCCAGCTGATTTAAATTCACTTGATAGAGTTGCTTAATTTGTTTTAAATAGTCTTGAACTAGAATAAATCAATATTACTCCAATTCAACTATTGAATGATAATCTCTCTTTAAATCTTCTTAAAGTAACCATGCAACTCTTATAAATATGGTAACATTTGTTTAGATTCTTAAATCAAAATGATGTTACCAATATTCAATTTAATTATGAAGTAGATTAAGCTAATCATAATGCTGCAATTGTAGCAGCTTAAACCTTCTTACTTGTTCCATTAGATATTGCAAATAAAATATTAAAAGGGTAATACACTGAACTTATCAATTATCATTTGAATTCAAATAATAAATTACCACTTAAAGAAGAATATGATAAAAAAAGAGAAGAAAAGAGTTAAGCTAAATTATAATATACTCTACATTTTGATAAATCTGATAATATTATTAAAATTGCTGATGATGCATTAACTAATGAAGCAGAAAACTTTTCATTTTCAAATGCTGAACATTCATTAATAGAAGAGTAATCTGATTAATAATAAACCATTTAAAAATATAATCATAAATACTAATTAAATTCTGAATAATATAAATAAACTATATTAGATCAAGCAGTTGAATTAAGTTTCAAAGGAAAAATCAATGAATCACATTTATTTGATATTTAACCTCCAAAACATAGATCATACATAGCAGAAAGTGGATAATAACTTTTAAGAATAACTCCAATTACTATTTGTACTTTAAATTGTATAAAACCAAATATAGAATTCAATCATATAAATTATTTCATAGATCCTTAAAAAGAATTTTTACATTTTTTCAAACCTAATAGTAAATATTTCTTTTAATGGTAACTTGATGCTGAAAATGTATAGAAAATTGTTTGTGATGTAGAACATTAATTTACTAATGAATTAATCTCTTTTGTAACAAAAGAAGGAATCATATTTTTATTTAATCCATTTTCTTAATCTGCAGATAATAATTTCTATAGATTCAATGAAAATAATTCTATATTGTAAACCTTACCTAATATGATTGAGAAAAAAAGAAATTTTAGAGTTGCTCAAGTAGGCAATTATATATATTTGATTGGTGGAGAAAATTAATAATAATAAGTAACTAATTCTTGTGAAAGATTTAGTTTCAAAACTTTAGAATGGTAAAAGATAAAATCTTTTTAAACTCCTCTTACTAAAGTCAATCTTGTAGTTTTCTAATAAAGGTATTTGGTTAGATTCGGAGGTTTGAATCGTTTCGATCATTTTGATAAAACAGTAGAAATGTAAATTACAGAATAATCAATTATAGGTATGACACCAAAAGACATAAGTGGTCTTAATTAAAATTAACTAGTGGATAAGATTAAATATTCAAGTTGAATAGTGTTTGTTTGTAGATTAATTTTAATTCTATTCTAATTTTTGGAGGCTAAAATGATAATGATTATGATGATTCTATCATCTAATTACTTACTATTGATGAAGTTGATAAAAAAAAAAACGATTATATTGCAAATCTCTAAGAATTAAATATACAATAAAAATTATTATCATTCATTGGTCAATATGATTTAAATGTATATTACTAACACGATAGAATTTATTTATTTAGGAAAAATTACAGTTCCTTATTATCATGATCTATTTTAAAAATATCTATATATGAAAATTCAATTTTATATGTATTTATTGCTTATTTATATTTATCATTATTTATCTTTTTTCAGTTATATAAATTATTTGATTGCTTAAAGTATTTTTCTAGAATTTTAATAATAAAGAATACTTTAATTTTGACATTTTCTTATTGGTAGTAAGATGGTATCAATACTTTTTTAATTTTAAAGTTTCAAATTAACAATTCTTTATTAATTTTTAAGCTTAAACACATTGACTAGTAATTTTATTAATAAATGAGTGATCTGATTTCAAAAACTTATAATAAAATTTCTGATGTTTTTTCAAGAACTCAGGTTAAGAAGGCTGTTGAAGGTCTTCATACTTATTAACAAAGAGTGAAATTAATTGATCATATTATAGATAGAAGATAAGAAATTAGAAATGCCGATGATATTGCAAAAATTTAACAATATGCTCATATTTTTAAAAAAATGTTAAGGAGATATAAAAAGAAGAAGGATGAAGATAATGAATAAGAAAAAGCTAAATTAAAAATGGAAATGGTTATGTAATTATTTAGAGGAGAAAAAAAAAAGTAAACTCATAATTATGACATTGAATAATTAAAAAAATAGTAATTAGCTTAATCAAGAAGAAATGCTCTTCCTCAATAAAAGAAAAATTAATAGTAGCAAACTTAATCAACAAAAGTTGATGATTCAAAAATGTTTGAAACTTCTCCAAATAGAAGTAAAAAACTAAATAGATTCTTTACTGAAAAAGATCCTATGTAAGTAGAGAAATAAGTAGAATAAGAAATATATGATTTCTTATAAAAAAATCATGAACTAGATTAAGTTCAAAAAGATAGATTTCTTAGGGTGACAGATAAAAGTTAATAGATTCGATATATAGAAAGTAAAGTTAAGCATCAATTAGTGCTTCAAGAAAATTAATAACAATAAATGGCCATTAAAGTATTAGATTTAAAAATATCAAGTAACATTACTAAGTTTAAAACCTCTTTCGAAAAAAAAATAATAGAGGTCATACTTAAATTAAAATAGCAAAATCTTTTTAAGGAAAATTTGAAGACAATCGTATAGAGGGTCCTCTCACTTCGCGCAGATAAATTAATGGAGAAGATTCTTTTGCTTCTTATACAGAAATAAAGCTAAATAAATTATATTAAGAGTCTTCATCAATTTAAAAGACAATAAAAACCAAGACATTATCCTGTCCAACTAATCAAATTTAAAATTATTTAATTCATACTAATAGAGATATTATTGATATTTCTAATAAAAAATTATTCCATGTGTAAAAGTTTAAATTATGATTTAAAATAACATTAACTTAAAAATAAAACAAATATATATATTAGCATCTAAAAATCAAATAAAAATTACAATGTCTTATTAATTATTTTAAAAGACTTTATTGATTGCAAATCTATGTAATAATTAACTTAATAATATAGAAAAAGCTTCAATTCTTTCTTTAAATATTCTTGAATGAATAATTGCAATTATTGATTTATTTTAAGAAATTAAAAAAAAAAATGAGTTTTGCTGCTCTTTTCAAAAATTGTTTTGAACACATTAAAGTCAAATTTTAAAAGAATTATTTACCAGCCTAAACACCTAAATTATTTAATTAAAAGAAAGTATTAGTTTTAGATTTAGATGAAACACTTGTTCATTGTGAATTCAAAGAAAATGAAAATTTTTCACATGAAGTATTGCTTGAAGTCGTCCATAAAGGATAAGAATATTAAGTATATTTAAAAACTCGGCCTTATTTAAATTAATTTTTAATTGAGGCAAGCAAAGATTATGAAATTTTTATTTTTACAGCAGGTTATGAAGCTTACTGTTAAGAAGTTTTAAGTTTTATAGATAAAAAAAAATTAATAACTGATTCTTATGCAAGAGGAAGCTGTCAATTCATTAATGGAATTTGTTATAAAGATTTATTATTAATAGATAGGCCTTTAGAAGATATAATATTCATTGATGTAAATAAAAAACAATTATTAGAACAATCCAAATGCTTTTATAAGATATAAGAATAATGGATTATTAATTCCATCATTTTTAGATTCTGATGAGGATGATTGTCTTTTAAGATTAATTCCATTTTTAAAATATATGGCTAAAAAAAAAGATGTAAGACCAGTAGAATAACATCTAAAATACTATGAGGATAATAATGGTACAATAGTATTCAGTGAAGCCTAAAAAACAATACAATTAGAATAAGAAGAACCAGATGAGGATACATTAAGCGAAGGGAAGGTTGTTAAAAAAGAATAAGAAGTTACGGATTTGGATATCAAACATAAAAAAACCCAAACTCAATTAGAAACTGTTAGCAAGATAAAAAGTAAATTAAGAAGTGCAACTTTATTTTCAGGTTCACAAATTAACTGATTTTCACAACTTTTTTTTTTATCTTTGTCTGATTTTTATATGTCATTTAACAAAGCTAATTTATAAATATGATCAATCTTTGATTATATCCTAAATTATACATTGAGTTTGGGTTTACATGATAAATTCTTCTTCTGATAAAAATAATAAGTTAATATTGGTTTATATCGAAAATCAATCATTTCTAATTGTCTTATGTAAAAGTCTATTCACATGTATTCTTAAAAAGACTTTTAATAAAGTGGGCTTAAGTTTGAATATTAGCTATCTTAATTTTCTTATTGACTTCTAATTGGTAGTGGAGAATTCACTAAAAATAATAGATTTATTATCATACATTAATTTGGGCTAAATGTTGATAAATTTTTTTTCAATGAATAATTAAGTTATGATTACATCATTCTTAGGATTGGTGATAATGATTCCATTTATGAAGTTTAAGATTAAGGAAGTTCCAGTTCTGTCTTCACATTAGTTTTAAATAATTCTTATAAATTATTATCTTTGAGACTTGAATCTTGTTATTTTAAAAAGAAACTAAGCAAATAGCTTAATCTATCAATTTTAGCATCTAATGATTATCTTGATAAGCTCAATTAAGACCATATTGAATTATGTTATTCCATAATAATTTAATTTTATTCACTTATCGCTTTGAAATCATTTTCAAATTAAAGCTATCTTTACTTTAAGAATGTTAATTCTTATTCCATTTATTATTCAAATTCAGCTTCTGTTGATTCAGCTTTTACATTCTTCTTTTCTTTCTTTAGTAAAACTTTTTATTTGATTGGGTTTCTTTTTATTTGAGATAATTACTTTCTATTAATGTAATTATAAAATACTTGTTGCCTTTTTTAAAGTTTGGATGAGTAAATATTTCATGATTCTCTGAATTTCGTGCCTTTTAAAACTCATACATATTTAATTGTCTTAAAAAAGATTAGTAGTGATTGTGTTTGAAATATTATGGTAAGATTTGGGTTTCAATTTCTTTAGGATTCAATACAATAAAGTATTCACCATCGTCACTCCATTTAATTATTGTTTAAAATTAAGGAGTGCTCTTTTAGAGATAATCATAAATGAATACTTATTCATCAAGCATATCATATAGTTTTATGATAAATGCAGGGGTAGAGAACGGTCCTTGTTGATTAGTCATTAAGAATTGAAGATTTTGTTCTTTTTATATCTTATAATTTATATTTTGAAAATAAATTAATAATAACCATTCAATTATTAATCTTTCTTTGCTTTTTATCTGTTCAAAATTCTTTAAAGCAACTTAATGAAGAACAATCAAATAAATTATGAACACTACTCCTAAAATTAAAATAAATTAAAATAGATAATCATATAAATATTAAAATTACTTTTAAAAATAATAATACATATAATAATTTTTAGAAATTTGCCATTCTTTTTTTACTGAATTCATATTAAATCCTTATTTATCAACAGTTTTAATTGAATTCTAAAATTAAAATAAAATCTCTATTCATTTCAATTTTTTATAGGACTTATTTTTTCAATTTTTTAGAAAATAAACATATTTTTCTTTTATTTTCTTATAATATTGAAATTATTAGTCGGTTTTAGGCAAAAGGTTAATTATTTTCATTCCATTTATAAAAAAATCATACTAAATATTATTTTTTTTAGTTAGAACTCACTATTTAGATTTAAGTTAAGCACAATAAATAATTCAAACTTTTAACCTTATAATTATATATCTAATTATAAAAGAAGGTTTGAGTACCTTAAAATACATAAAATGACTTTAAGAGCATTAAATGTGTGTATTATTTAAAATTACAAAATTTTAGAAAAATATTTGAAAAACATGTTCTTTATTTAAAAAGCTTAGAGGATTTATTGCAAATGTGATTAGATTTGAAGAAAATGAGAGTATCTAAAAATGGAAATATATACATTTATGTTTTATTTTTTATAGTTAAAAATAATAAAAAAATGAGTATAAGGTTAATAATAATGTGATATATGCTACTTATTATATTTTGTTAGCTTTTTCAAATCATGAATCTTTTTAAGTTTCGGATAAACAAGTTTATTCTTTCATATGATGACAATCTTAAAATTCATTTTTTTCATTTTTGATTGAATTTGTTACTGATCACATGAAAAACTCGTTTAATTGTTATTTGGAAACTATTTCTGGATTTTCTTTTCTTATAGCTCATATATTGTATTTATAGTAAATTTAGTATAAAGTTAAATTCTTTTAGATTATTTGTATTTTATAACGAATTTTTGAGATTGGAATAATAATTAGGAAGCATCATTTCCTTAACTAATTTCAAAAATTTTGCAATTAAAAGGTTCCTTATCAATTGGCAAGTGGTCAAAAATTTAAATTTAAAGATGATTGTTTAACTCTTAATTAGTTTTAGTATTATTCTGAATATTATATGAGTAAAATCTTTACAATAGATAGTTTAAAATAAATGTAATTCCTTTTAAATATTATTGATAGCTACAAATATAACTATTTTTATGATTTCTTTTATTAAATGAGAGGATGAAAATTAATGGATGTGATACAGATAATTCAAGTTTAATAAATGGAAATCTACTGATTGTATAGTTAGCATGAATTATAATTGGAATCTTGAAGTATGGTAAATATGTTATCAAAATAAATTGTTATAGAGATTTAATAACTTACATTGAATGCTTAATATTCTTTTGGCAATTTTTAAAAGAATAAAATAAAATAAATTTAGAAGTGATTATTGTATCAAAAATAGTTTATATAATTTAAGGATTAAAATGATCCTTATTTAAGGGGTGATAAATAAATAGGTTCATATGCTTTTTAGTTTATATTTTATTATTAATTTTGATTGTTATTTGATAAATTCATGTAAGAAACTTTCAGTATATACATTTAGAATATTTTAAGTATTATAGTAATATTAATATTTTAGGGATTATTGGAGCAAGTTTAATTGGGGTTGTAATTATCAAAACTATTATCCAAATTTATTTTGTCATTTTTGATAAAGAGAGAGAGTTTTAAAATTTGGATTATATTTTAATGGATTATTGAAATGATAAATAAAGAATAATTTAAGATTGATTATTAATTTATAATACTTTAGTTTAATAAACAAGTTAAAAAAATAATATATAAAATAAAAATGATTAATTTTAATTAAAATATTATTGAAAATAATTATATGTAAATTTGTCATAATATAACTTCAATTGGAGGCTAACTAGATGATGTTTAATTTAAATCATCTTTAAATAGCATCCTTTTAACTTCACTTTTATGTTGAGGGATTTAAATTTTATTAGATTTAGTGTTCCTTTAAGTATAAAAATTATATTAATTTTTATTAGAATCAACCAATGAAGTACCATAACTGCTAACTGTTGATACTTATGAGCCATTTTTATTTACTTTAATAGGGCTAGCAGTTCTATAGAATCCACTTAATTATTGAAATGATTGATTAATTGAGAAATTGGATGAATCTTTTCTCTATGGTGAAAATACTCTAACTTTTTAAGGAGAAGTTTAATAAGGTGCAATTCTTTATGGTGAATATCTAATTATTTTTTAAGGTGATTAAGGTCTTTAGCAGAGATTCTAATTAAATACTTTAACTATTTATTTATTTGTAAATAAATTCTAAGGTTAGTTATACTTTATTTCCTTTGATTTAATGATTTAAGGTTTAAGTACTATTTCTTATTCTAAATTAGTAGATTTATATTATCTATTCTATAGTATTTAGGATAACTATATAAAATCTGGTCTTTTCTCTGGTGTATTATTTAACATTATAGCTAATAATTATAGAAGCTATTAAGAGTATTGACCAATCAATAAAATTACAGTTTGTTTTAAACTCACATGATATTCTAGAATAATATTTAAAATTACTTTTTTTAGTCATAAGTTCCACAATTACTTAAGCTAAATCAAAAACATCTTATTTGATTTATTATGGATTTGATTCAATTGTAATTTAATCAAGAGTCTTTAAATTTAGATCAGAAGTTATAAATATATTATCTGAAGTGATTTTTCCATGAGAACATTCATTTTCTTGTAAGTATTTTAAAACACTTACTAATTGTTCTAGTGACTATTTTATATGAATATACTATAATACTTTCCAAACTTCTATTTCTCTAAATGGTTCTGATCTTGCACATAAATTTTGAGAAAGTGTTTTGCTAATATATTCAAAAAAGAATTATGAAGTTTCTACATTTCCATAGAGCAAAGGAGAATCTTAAGTGCATGCATAATATTGTAATAAATTAGGATGTTATAATTGAGATCTTTTTGTATGAATTTTTAGTAAAGTAGAATCTTAATAGTATACATGTCTTGTCTTAAATAATTTATATTTATTACAAAAGAAAAGAGTTCAAGAGAAGTGTCATTCTTTATTTTCCATAGCTGGATATTACCAAATGCTGGAAGATAAGTTGTTCCACAGCAATCAATTTAAGCATTTAAATCATAAGCAAAACTCAATTCTGTATTATAATTGACGTAAGCTTAAACTGCTCCCATTATATTTATTTATTTAAGATATTTATTTAGATATGATTGCTAGCATTGCGTAATTAATTAAATTGACATACATATATCTATATATATATAAATAATATAAATGAATATAATTTAATCGACTGTTGATGAAAACATAAAGAATGAAATTATTGAATTTTACTACAATAGCAAAACATAATTTTAGAAAAGCACTTTAGAATATTTGAAAAGTAGATTAACTAGATATGGGAAAGGAATTTTGATATATATTAGTGATAATCCAATATTGTNTTTATTTCCTTTGATTTAATGATTTAAGGTTTAAGTACTATTTCTTATTCTAAATTAGTAGATTTATATTATCTATTCTATAGTATTTAGGATAACTATATAAAATCTGGTCTTTTCTCTGGTGTATTATTTAACATTATAGCTAATAATTATAGAAGCTATTAAGAGTATTGACCAATCAATAAAATTACAGTTTGTTTTAAACTCACATGATATTCTAGAATAATATTTAAAATTACTTTTTTTAGTCATAAGTTCCACAATTACTTAAGCTAAATCAAAAACATCTTATTTGATTTATTATGGATTTGATTCAATTGTAATTTAATCAAGAGTCTTTAAATTTAGATCAGAAGTTATAAATATATTATCTGAAGTGATTTTTCCATGAGAACATTCATTTTCTTGTAAGTATTTTAAAACACTTACTAATTGTTCTAGTGACTATTTTATATGAATATACTATAATACTTTCCAAACTTCTATTTCTCTAAATGGTTCTGATCTTGCACATAAATTTTGAGAAAGTGTTTTGCTAATATATTCAAAAAAGAATTATGAAGTTTCTACATTTCCATAGAGCAAAGGAGAATCTTAAGTGCATGCATAATATTGTAATAAATTAGGATGTTATAATTGAGATCTTTTTGTATGAATTTTTAGTAAAGTAGAATCTTAATAGTATACATGTCTTGTCTTAAATAATTTATATTTATTACAAAAGAAAAGAGTTCAAGAGAAGTGTCATTCTTTATTTTCCATAGCTGGATATTACCAAATGCTGGAAGATAAGTTGTTCCACAGCAATCAATTTAAGCATTTAAATCATAAGCAAAACTCAATTCTGTATTATAATTGACGTAAGCTTAAACTGCTCCCATTATATTTATTTATTTAAGATATTTATTTAGATATGATTGCTAGCATTGCGTAATTAATTAAATTGACATACATATATCTATATATATATAAATAATATAAATGAATATAATTTAATCGACTGTTGATGAAAACATAAAGAATGAAATTATTGAATTTTACTACAATAGCAAAACATAATTTTAGAAAAGCACTTTAGAATATTTGAAAAGTAGATTAACTAGATATGGGAAAGGAATTTTGATATATATTAGTGATAATCCAATATTGTAATCAGCAAGTACAGATTAATTGGTGTTATACTTTAAATCGAAAAAAGAGTTTGTGTATATTTGTTTAATAAAACAACTTTTAAAAGAACCATAAAAAGATGGTAAAAATATTCAATGTTCATTAAGAGGATAGGAGTATAAATTGAATTATTATTAGTATTGAAAATTATAGAAATAATGTATTTAGAGTTTGGTTATAAATAAAATATGATTATATCTTGGTTATAAATAAAAATATATAATAAAGAATGATGAGGGGAAGAGGGAGAATAAAGAATAAAAAAGTGATTTTAAATATAAAGATTTTTTAATTAAATTGTATATGTCTTAACAATAAGGAAAGGGTGGAAAAGCTTAATAATAGAAGAGTGAAGTAAAGACAGGAGGTGTAAATAAAGTAGTAAAACCTTAAGAAACAAAAGAGAATGTAATGAGAAAGATTAGAATTGAAAAATTAATGGTTCATATATGTGCTGGAGAGTCAGGAGATAAATTGACAAAAGCAGCAAAAGTTTTAGAAGATTTAACAGGATAAAAGCCAGTATTTGGTAAAGCAAGATATACAGTGAGATCTTTTGGTATTAGAAGAAATGAAAAGATTTCTGTATTTTGTACAATAAGAGGAGATGCTGCAAAAGATATATTATTTAGAGGTTTAAGAGTAAAAGAAATGGAATTGAAAAAGAGAAACTTTTCAGATTCAGGAAACTTTGGATTTGGAATATAAGAACATATTGATTTAGGATTAAAATATGATCCATATACAGGTAGATTAATAGTAATAATAATATATAGGTATATTTGGTATGGATTTCTATGTGATTTTATCAAGACCAGGATTAAGAGTTGCATAAAGAAAATCAAGAAATGCAAGATTAGGTACAGCTTAAAGAGTTAGTAAAAAAGAAGCAATGGAATGGTTTAAATAAACATTTGAAGGAAATGTTTATTGATAATACATTAATGAAATACATTAAAGAATATAAATCAATAACAATCATTATTAGAAACTTTAAGTAATTCAACATCACCTTCTTTTATTGACTATTTATCTTTCTTTTTTTATTTTTTATCCATAAAATACGACTTTTTATCTTTTAGTGCATCTCTACCTCTATAAATGAGTCGATCAGAAAATGATTCAGTAAACATAAATTCTTTAAGTCCAAGGAAATTCATAAATCTATCATATAAATCAAAGTAATTTATAAAACACAAAAATAATAGTATGGCAGGCATTAATTAAATAACATTAACTCCAAATATAGGTACGAATTCCATCTTAAATAATATAATTAACAATATATACTTCTCCCATAGCAAATTTAAATGCAGGTTCACAATTCATTCTTTATTTAACTCTTAACATATTTAAAAAGTTTTAACATAATGGAGCTGCCACTCTACTAAAATTAATTGTTGCAAATAGTAAACTTGGTGCATCTGTTTAATGATCATTATATAATCCATAACATCCAGCTATCTTAATTCTAAACATTCCATAATAAACACAAAAGGCTATATAAAATAATGGAACAAAACAAAATATTTATAATGTTAATACGCCAGATTATAATGATATGGGCATACCAAATATTGTAAAAGGAGTATTTAAAAATAAAGTAGTCTCAGATACTATTACTAATAAAGATAATATTCCTAAGGCTAATGAAAAAAATATTTTAATTTAAGGTTTATAGTGACATAACCAATACCATTCTAAAGTATCTAAAGTCTTAGAACATGATCCTTCCTTTCTATTAGATTTTACATCATAATTTATTTTTTTATCAGAATTTTCTATTGAATTTATAACATTCTCTAATGCATATGCTTTTTTACAATTCTCTTTCCATGCTGCTCTTAATCTTCTATATGTTCTTGATTTCTATCTAATATCTCTATAAATTTCAACAACTTCTTCATCTGTTGCTTCTGGTTATTCTTTAAAGAACATTCTTTATAAATAACTAATTCCTGGTGCCTTTGATTTTGCATCTTCTTCCATTAATTCTTTAAACATTTTTTTTGGAATTTATTTAATACTCATCTATATATATACTTTAGATGATTATTATTCAAACTTTTCTTAATTTCTAATACCAACCACTCTTTTAGCCTTCTCTTATAAAAAATGATGAGCATCATCTTTTTCCTCTGTTATTTTAGCTGTTTTAAAATACAAATATTTCATTTAAACATCCAATGTTGATGTTCTCATATGTGCTCTAGGAACTGCTATTAAAGAATATCTAATTTCTTAATAGATTTTTATTACCCTAATAAAACTATTATTAAAGCAACACCAAATGAATTAGCCATGCTTTTTAATAATTTAGCTAAACCATAATCTGATGCTTAACCTGTCATAACAAGTATTACAACAAAAGCTATACCAGCTATTCCTATTATCAAATAAAATTTGCCGTTGTTAATTAATGAACGTACAAATTTCTATGCTCTATTCAAGTCAATGGCTTCTTCATATTCTTACATTATTGGAATTATTGTCCAACAAAGTATGAAATTTGCCCAATATAATATTTAATATAGCTATATTATATATACATTATATATTTATACATTTCCTATTGCCTCATATTCTCTTGAATGCACTTCTATACCCTCCTAATTATTATATGTCTCTTTATCTCTAAATGTTATATAAATATCTAATGGTAACAAAATTAACAAAATAAAATTTGTCAACCATGAAATCAAACATGTTACTTTTACTATAAAATTTACATCTTTGCAACAAATGTTATTGATTAATTTTGCACAATAGATTGTTACCAAAATTATCTCAAGTAATGTTAAAATATACATATTTATATTTATTATTCTAAATTTCAAAAATATCATCTCTTTTCTCACTTTTTCAATATTTATACATATTCAAAATCATTTATTTCATTCTTTTATACATTTTCATCATTAAACCATTGAAATATCTTTAAACATAATTTTATTAACATATACCTTTTAAAAATATCTTATTAAACTTATTCTCTAAATCTAAATTTAAATCAATACTATATATCAGAAATCACAATTAATTTTAATATCATATATATAAATAAAAATAATATTTATAATGTTTGAATAGCAATTTACTTAATAATTTACAAGACATAATAGAATCTCAGAAAACCTAAAAAAGATTCATGTCTAGCAAAAATATACATTTGATACATTATATGATGATATTGGAGTTGGATTTATAAATTAATCATTCATTTTTAAGATAATTTAGAAGAAATTGAAAATAAAGAGCGCGCTGTTTTTGGCAATTACATTTTTTTTATTCTTATCAGCATACTCTATGGTGACATCATACATCAGTCATTTAATGCTTATTGGATATGCAATTTTATAAACTAATTATGAAATTCAAAGGTAAAAGGATTCCAAAAAACAATTACTAATATTTTGGTTCATATTTTCAACTGATATTTTGATTGAAAATTATTTTGCTAGAGATAAGTTTACATTAATTAGATATACAAAATTTCTTATTGTACATGCTTGTTTTATGTATAGATTGTCAATACTATCTTTCATTTTATAATTGGTAAATATATAATCACTTAATTTTAGTATAACTTATTAACTATCGGAAAGAGTTTTACCAGTCCTCAAAATTCCAAAAAGTCCTATTTTAAATGATTTTATTCTTTTAATTTATGTTCATAAAATTTTATGTTTTTGTTAATTCAATATTTATATCTATGGTTTATCATATATTAATTTTAGTTTTAATTAGATAATTATTGCTCTTTTATAAATTTATTGATTTATTTACAATCGAGAATTTAAAACCTGATATTCAAACAAATTTAAATTTAAATTAAAGAAAATATATTTTTAATATCAAATTTCTTTTTTGATTTTCATGATTTGAGAAACAACATTCATTTTCTTCTTGAGTTTTGTGAATTCTTTAAACTTTAAATTAGATTAAAATTTTCATCAAAACTTATTAAATAAATAAAATGATATTTAATTTTTCTAATTTTCATGAATAATTTAAGAATATGAGAATTATTATTTAAGAAAATAGGTTGGCAAAGAATTCAAGTTAAAAAGAATAATTTAAGTTTTTAAGCATAACAATCTTGTTTTAAAGCTGATATTAGTTGTTTTAATAAAATTCTTTTGATTAATATTTTAAAAAGAAATAATCTTAAATAATATACTGAAGTTGTTCTAAAATAATAGACATGAATAAAAAGGATGCAATTGTATCTATATAATATTATATGAAATCAGCTTTAAATAAACAACAATATTTGTACAGTAAGGATTAGTATATAAAAATATATATCAAAAACAAATTTTTATCAAATCTAAATTGTCAATAAATCAAGGAATTCAATCTTATTATTATTGAATAACAGAATTCAAATTTCTAAATTGTTTCGCTTTGGCATTTGAGAGGTGTTATTGTTAAAAATAATAACATACGACAGATTAGAATAGAATATTTATTGAAAAACTTGAATACTATTGGCATAATTAAAAAGGATTTTATTATTGTCTTGGATCATATCCAGAACTTGACATTTTGCTAAAAATATTTTAGTATTCATTTAAAATTTGAACATTTTTTCTCTATATAGAAAACTTTATCTAATTTGAATGAAAAATTATGAAAAAAAATATATAATTATTTTTTTCATGATATTTTATGATATTTGAAACAAAATATCTTTAAATAAAAAATTAATATATAAGAATGATAAACATATAATTTTTATGAATTATTTTCATTTTGAATTGCTTTTTTTATTTAATATAGTAATTTTTAACATAATATTTTCCTATGTAATCATGTAAATTAAATAAAATTTCTGTTGAAGAATTTAATTTATTGAATAGCTTCTTAATAAATTTAATTAATTGATTGTTGAAGAGCAATTTACATAATTAATTAAAATTTCTATATTATTGGAGAGAATAATAATTACTAATAAATATCTTTAAAGAAAGGTATTTAAGTGTTGAATATTTGTATTAATAATTTGGTCATCTGAAAATATTAACGTATTATATAAATAATTACATCATTAGTATAAGTAAGAATAAAATATTAGCATATTTATTAATTTTAATAAGTTTAATGAATATCATTTTATATGCATGCATAATTGGTTACGTAATAAGTGAGGTATTTTAAAAAGTAAGTATTTTTAGAGTGATTTAGATTAAGCTTATAAATACTTGCTGTAAAATCAGGATCAATTAATGATTGGATAATGGACAGCAAGTTCAGATTACTTAGTTTATATAAATGTGGTGTATGATAATTAAAATATGATAATGTAAGTTTATCCTAAAAAGCACAACATTTTACATGAAAAGCACTATTTTAGATTAAGTTACTAACTTTTAAACAGTTCTTATTATTTTGATACAGTCAAAAAGTATCTGAATATAAATATATATAGTCACATGACATGGCAGTAAATAGATGTCATAATAGAATTGCAAAATAATGAGAAACATCCATTAACAATATGCAAAGCTACACTTGAAATGGAAGTTTAAACTTAAACAATTATTCTTAATAGTAAATTTGCTGAGGAATGTAATATAACTGAAGAAAGAGTACGTTTATTCATATTCAGCAATTCAGTATACTAATTACAAGTCTTTTCATACACAATGCTTATAATATTTATATCTGTTGTTCAAATTATTTGCTCTTATTTATATCTAAAATCTGATCCATCTTCCAATTAAGGTGCATCAATGACAATATCAATAATCTTAACATAAGATATATTCATTTGTATTTTCAGCTCATTACTTTTTGATATACCTAGATTTTATTATTTCTTTCCCTGTTTACTTTGCTAATTGATAGCAATTTTTTGGGATCTCAAATTAAAAGCAAAACTTACAGTAATTTATTTTATAATATCAATATAGATGATGGAAAGATCTAAGAAAAGATTTTTATTCTTTCAAATCATAGAAATATTATTTGTCACTTTTTTATTTTTAAAAATCAGACATTCAATTGAATTAACATTATTAAATATTTTTTTAATACCTTAGATCATATATAACTTTTTTACAGGAGAAAGATAAAGATTTAATAAATATTATATTGGAGCAATATTTCCAAGGGCTTTACTTTCCATATATGCTAGAGGATGTTCACAAAATATTTTATAATTATAGTATAGACTTCATGTTGTATTTGTCATCATTCTTATACTAATTATTTAACTATTAATTTATTATTGCCAAACTAAATTTGCATGGTTTATTCTTAAAAATAATTAACATAACTATTTTATTAAATAAACAGATGAACATTTATAATCAGATTGCTCTATATGTTTAAATAATTTAACATAAATTCCTGATAATAAACTTAATTAAAGTGAATATATGATATAAATAATAAATTAAGCATCCTAAAATCATTTATTGATGAGTACTCCTTGCGTAAATTTTTAATATTTAAATTAGAATCATTAATTTCATCCTTCTTGCTTAAGTTAATGGATGTAAATAAATTTATCATGCCCATTATGTAAAAGTGCTTTACCTTAGGTATTTTGACCTTCACAAACAATCATGAATATTTGTATATAAATGTAAATTTTTACAAAAAATTTTATTTATAATTTCTGATTTTAATTTTTTAAATTCTTTAATTATTTTCTCATCTAATTAATTTTATTGGTCATTTATTTATATAAGAATTAATTGACAATAGATTATTTACAATTTCTTATCTTTTTTGTAAGTGTTAATTTTATCTCTAAAACTCTTCTCTATCATTCTACTTACTCATAAATAAATAACAGAAATTAAATTAAAATATATGATTCTATATAAATAATGATAAATATAGATAAATTCATTCTTCAAAATCTTTGTTAATGTTAAAAGTTATTTTTTCCTTTCTTTATTGATTTTTCTTGTTATCATTATTTTTATTTTAGATGGATTTTTTGTATAAAGTTTATATCTTATTGTATTATTTTGAAAATTTCTAGTTGAATTCTTTTTAGGCCTCTTCATACATATAGGATTTCGAATGTATTCCCTCTAAAAATTCAGTTTCTTCTTTTAACTTAATAAAGTTTTAATTTTTAATTATTTTCTAATATGCTAAGACTCTTTTTTTTACAACATATTTTTGTTTCTATTCAAAAGTTTATCTACTCGAATCTTTAATCATTAACTTTATTATTGTTATAATCTTTAAATAAGATTATTTCTTTATAATAGGATTTTATATCAGAATTTAAAAGTTATTCTTTATTTTAATATATAATAATAAAATGAATAAGTTGTATAATTGTTATATAATATATTTGTTTATTTATAAGTTATGTAATAGATAGGCATCAAAATCTAATAAATAAGATTTAATGTTTTCATTCAACTTGATCTTCAGAAGAATCTGATATCATATCGAAGAATGATTCTTATTTTGTGTTTTTGTTTTTTTATTTTTAGATCATTTGTTATTTGGCTTTCATTTGTTGAATTTATTTTCTGGCTGTTTAATTAAGATGAACAAAATCATTGTCTGACATTTTCTTAACTTTATATAATCTATCAACCATGCCTTTAAATTCATCTCTGTTTAATACTCTTTGTTTCTTTATAGTTGGATAAAGCATCACTTATCCATCCAATCCTTTTTTTTCACATAAACCAAGCATTTGCAGTTTCTTTTTGAGAAAATCTTCTTCTGTTTAAGATTACCACTACTTAGACTATTATATTTACATCATCCATCTTATCATAGCATTTTTTGATTAATTCTTCATCTTTTTCAATCATATCAATAACATCAGCTTTATAATTTTCATTTTAGAAATGATTCTTAATTTCTCTTTATAATAATTTATCCATAATAATAAATAATAATAAATTAATATTCAAAATCTATGATAAGGTTATATGTATGTGGAAAATATCAACAATTAATAATAATGATAAATGTAATGGAATAGATTAAATAAAAGATTAAAGTATTCTATCAACATGATATGAATTTCGATGTTAATGTTAGCAAGTTTAGAATATTGTTTTCTTTCCAGGTATTATAACTCTTAAAGATTTATTTATTCTACTCCCTTATAGAATTTTGTTTTAAATTAAATTTTATAGATAGTAATTAATGTATTCCAAAAAAGTCAGGAATTTATATGTGCTATATATACTCTTATAATTGATTGAATAAATGAACTTTATTCTGATTAAATTACTAAATTTAATCATTTGTATATCTATTTTAAGTAATATATATAAGTCTTCCATAAATAGTTATCATCTATTTTTTGTTCTATACTTAATTATTTTCTTAGAATGTTGTTGTAAACAATGAGGATAATATAAATTTATGTATTCCTTTATTAGATTAAGTAAAAAATATATTCCTCTGTATCATATGTTCTTTAAAATGCTAATTAATTCATCATTAACATAATCTTATAATTCATTAAGGTACTCTGCATTACTTTTGATTTTTTAAATCTTAATCATTACTTGAACAAGATTATTTAAATCAAAAGTAATGCTTCTAACCAATCTTAATACAATTTGTATTCTTATTAATATTTATTTGAATATTATTCATTGTACCCTTCCTAAACATCTCCACAATATTCATTAAATTTCTTATTAAAAATAATGAAAAATTCTAGAATCATAATTTTATAAGTCTATAAAATTCTCTATTTAATTCTAAATTGATTCATTTTAATCAGATTCATTAAAATCACTCCTTTTATGTTTTTTTTCATTTGAAACTATTTCTTTTTCACTTATTATATAATCATTAGATATTTCTATTTAGAAAACTATATTAACTACAAAAATAATTACTCTCTTAAAAACTGTAAAACGATCAAATAATCTCTAATAATACATATGTAAGTTAGACAATTATATAACTATTCTAAAAATTTTCACTACATATTATAAATTTTTTTTAAAGAATATTATTAATAAACTAATTCTATTATATCAAATATTAATTAACTCTAACTATCAAAGAAACTCAATTCATCTAATGAAAATTAAATTACAAAGAAAGTAATTTTAATTAAATCAAAAAAGATATAAAACTTAAGTATCACTTTTATATAGTTTAAATGCATTGATAAAAAATGTAATGGTTAAGTAAACTTAGTTTGGAGAAATATCTATTTTACTTCCTGAAATATATAGGAGCATTAGAAAAAATTTATAATCAAATTGATTAATTCAAATTCTTTTTTTGAATAATAACATAAGAAAATTTTTATGTAATAAAAAATCAACTCTTTATATCCTTAACTTTATATTAATGTTTTCCATCTATATGATTGAAAGCAAATAGATTCATTTCGATTCTAAGGTTGATACCTGAATATTTTACGAAAACTAAAAGTTATAATCAGGCTCCCAAATGATTTATTTGATTTAATATAAATATTTAATACAAAAAGTTAGAAATGTGATAGATGTTAAAAGATTAGTAAATACAATCTGATTCAATAGAAAAATTCATATTTTTACATAAATACAACGAAAATATAACTAAGTTTTGTCTATTTTATAACAAGGAAAATTGTTTTCTCAAGAAATTATGATCATTCAGAATATATTATCGTAATAAAAATTGATATATTAATAGATATGATAATACCATCTTCATTCTGTAATGAAAGATTATTGATTTGAAAAGTCCTTTAAATAGAATATCGAATTTTATTGGATAATTTAAAGTGACAAACTATGATTTAATTATCTATTTATTCCTTAAAAATTTTTAAAAAAATGTGAAGTTTTAATATAATTATGTGAATAAAGACAATTTAAAATATAGATTTAACTAATTTTTTAACTTCTAAATATATTAATATATAATTATTGATCTAAAAATAAAAATCTTTTTTTTTTTTTTTAATAATTAAAATAATATTTTAAATATGATTGAGTATTATGAACTTGATTTAGATTCAGAATGTTATGTGGATTAAAATTAGGAAGAAATTTAAATTGATTAAAATTATATAGATGATTGTTAACTTAATTTTAATTTTGAAGAAGATGGACAAGAAATCTAAAGAGAATAAATTAAATTAACAATTGATAGATAAATAAAAATACCATCCCGATAAATCTAAAGATTTGATGAATCAATTGACATAAATGAGGAATCTATAGAAGAAATAATGGAATAAAATAATGATGAACAAATTAATGATAATGAAAGTGAGGAAATTCAAGAATCTCTTTAAAAGAGTGCTTTGAAATCAACCGAAAAGATTAAATGTGATAAAATAAAATAGTCTAATTAGTAAGTTTACTCAACTTTTTAGATAGGTTCTGATGATAATTCTCAAGTTTAAGAGAAATAAAAACATTAATAATAGTCATAAGGAGAAACAAAAAATTTACCTAATTATTATGGAAGATAATTTGTGAACAAAATTAGAAGAAAATTAAACTAGGAGTAAGATGAATAAATAAAATCTGAAATGAATTAAAAATTAGAGAAGTTAAAAAAAAAATAAAAAATGTTTACGCTTAAATAATTAAGAGAGATGTTAGATGAAGAGTATTTTAGAGAAGAGTCAAAAAATTATTTAACTAGTTTTGAATTTCTGCATGACTTGATGCAATCAGATAAATAATAAGATATTAGACCTCCAATAAAATATGCAAAAAGGATGTATGAAGGATGTGTTAATAGATAGAAGTTATATAATTGGAAGGAAGTTTGAATAAATTATAAAAACCAAAAATTATATTTTATAAGTTCTCTCTAAAATAATCGTTAAAGAAAAAAATTAATTTATTTTTTTAGTTAAATTTAATATTTGAGTTCAAAGAATTAATCTTAAAATCAATAGATCTCAAAGAGTCATAGAGTCATGAGTAAATTTTAGATAGTAATCAAAAATAATAAAAAATGATCAATTAATGAATTTGATTAGAAATAATATTTTATTGAGAATCGCTACTGAACAATTTTTAATTAAATATTAACAATTCATTATGTATTTAATAGAGTTTGATAATACTCTATTTTTTCTGCCCAAGCTTTTTTATTTTCTGTAATTTAGACAATAAATTCTGATAATTGTGGAAGTATCTATGACAGAGTATTGTAGTAAGGAAGAACCTAAAATATATATATATATATTTAAAAATGATTACCATAAAATCTATAAATCCAATTTAACTTTTGGCAACATTAGTAGTTTTTCTGTCACAAAGCATTGTTATAGGAAGACCTAATTCTTTTTCTTTATCCCCTTAGAGCCAAAATTCTCCAAGAACTCTAAAAGTCCATTATTCATAGTTTTTCATTGGTTTAAAAGGATTACTAATATCTGCTGCATGTAATAAAGTATCAAAACAAATTCCTTTATCTTTAGATCCAGGATCAAAGTCATTGGAAGCTAATCTTGCTTTTAATTTATTGTAATCTAACAAATAATAATAAAATACCTTTTCCATGCATAGCATTATCAGTACTAAGAATCATATTAATTGACTTTTCTCTAAAATATTTAAAATCAGATAAAGTAAAATGAGCTAATAAATCTGTTTCTCTAATATATCTAAACAATGTTGATGCATGATGTTATTCAAGAGGAGATCTATCATTATATGTCATAGCTAAATCATGTCTAGTATTTGATAAGAAAATATTATTTAATCCTGGATGATCAACATCATGTGCTGCTGCAGATAATAATAGAATAGAATAATCAAGTTTTGACAATTTTCCTATTTCTTTAAAATTGCATTTTTAAATAAAAAAATATACAGTATGTGTAACATCAAAAGCATGAATAACATTATGGTATAAATTGTCTTTATGATAATTTTATGCTAGTCGATCTACACATTTCTTAAAAGATTCCGGTGACATTCTTAAAGAACTAAACAATTATTCTTTTTAAAAGTAGTAGCACATTAAATGAGTAAGAATTGAACTATCATATTTCTAAAAAAGAGAAAAGTAATCATAATCTAAGTTTAAGATATTTTATTCAAAATCCTACCTTAATTATTCTGGTAGATGAGATTCATCTGTAAATTAAACATCAGAAGACATAGAACGTCTAAATTCTTAAGAAACCTATTATTGTTGTTGTGGTTAATATAACCATCCTAAAGCTTCACTTTTCTTTCCTTCGATTATAGGCTCATATACAGTGTTATTAGATATATGAGTGATTCCCCAATTTAATTATTTAATAATATCTGGATCTTCAAATTAATCAGCAAGATCTCTCATTATTTCAATTACTTTCTCTACTGGAGAACGTACTACATATCTTGCTCCTGCATTATTTATTTTTTTGACTTAATTAAACTGTTTGAAAATAGAATGAAATTTACTTTACGAAACACTAAAAATAATCTTAAAAATCTAAATATTCCTCTTAGAACTTTGCTTATTGTGGTAAATGCATCTCCTTCTAAAATGAGATCGAGAATAATCAAAACTATCGAAGCTATTATAATTAGAGCATCAAAGATAGCCCACAAATCCGAAAAGTACGACTAATGTATATAATATATTGTATACTATGAGTCCAACACTGAGAATTCTAAATGAAATTTCCAAAACAAAGAGAATGAGGATCACTAATTCTACTATTTTAGTTATAAAGAGAGTCTTTTCTATGTCTGCATCTTCCTTAGCATCGTTAGCTATAAAAAATAATATAAAGTAAGTTACATGTAAATGAGAAGTTGATGAACACTAATAACGTAAAGAGGACAACTAGAATAATTACAACCTTATCAATCAGTGGAATTCCAACTTATTTATGATCAGTGATTCTGCGATTATTATATATAATTACTCATCAACAACTACACGATCATATCCATCTACATTATATGAAGATCTACGATCTCCTAGAATGTTAGAAATTTCTTTTGAACCTCGTGGAACTATTTTTGCACCCATCTAACCTATATTCTTTTTAGAATCCTCCTATAAGTTTTATTCTTCTGCCATTTTTGTTTATTTTATTAATTAATTATTTAAATTCAACAATATCAGAATGTACATCAAAGATTTACTTTTTTATTCAATTAGAAAAAGAATTTAGATAAAACTAAATTCTTAAGTTATCATTTATTTTCATAAATTTTGCCTGAACCTTAAAAATTATATAATGTTTATCAATAGATTATATTTTCAATCAAATCGAGGACCTTCTTCAATTTATCCATCCAAAACTAGATTAATATAATATCATTACTCATATCTTCAATTTATCTATCAATATTTATGTCTTATCCTAACTTAATTGGAAAGGGTATATTAATTTAGCATGGTAGTTAAGCAAACATTTAACTTAAAGGTGTTGGATATGGAAATATTAGATGTTGTTAAAAAAATGGAGCTTATTAAGGTCTATAAGTATTGTATTATTCTTAAACGGGTTATGTTTTTATTCGTTTTGTTAAAGAAGGTTCAGCAGGCTTTCTTCCTCTTTTTTTAGGTTCTACTTATTAAACTGGATTTTTTGGTTTTGGACCTCTTTTCTTTGGAATTGTTGATGTGGCAACATCAAAACAGAGGTCATTTTAAAATTTATTATCATCCTTGCTTTTATAATCTTCATTTACTATTTTTAAAATCACATGAACAAATTCATGTCTATTAAAACTATTTATGTGATCTGCAGATTTGATATGCTAAATTATTAGATTCCTAATTTTACATCCAAATAATCTACATAAGGTTTACGACAGACTCCACAATATCTGTGTTTTCTACCTGGTTTAGGAATTTACTATTAATATAATTAGTTATTACTAATTTAGTTTTTTTTGTAGTGTATTCCTAAACTTTTTTTTAATGATCCTCTTTATATTTTTACATACTCTTTATATAGTCATTCTAATTAATGTATTAATTTAAAATATACTCTATCCACTTCTAAAATGAATCCTGGTAGACATTGTTATTCATCTTAATTGAAAACTGGAACAATATTTTCATAACAAGATAACTAATCAAATTTATTTAGATTCTCATACAGCATCATTAAAAATAGGACAAAAATCTATGTTTGTAACATGTTTGAGCCAGCATTTCGTACTTTTTGGTTAGAGATTGAATTAATGTTCAGGACATTTAGGCTGACACTTGCGTTTGCCTGAACTTTATAATTTTTCTCCAGCCATTTAAATTATTTATATTGTAATTAGATATTGAATAATTTTGTTTTTCTTATTGATTTTTGAAACTCAAGATCAAGAATAAATTTTGAAATCTATAATAATCTTTATATTGAAAACAATATATTACATTTTTTAATACAAAAATAATATAATATAATTTATTAAATGCAATATATTGATTAAGGAAGTGCTCTTTCTACCAAAAATGTCCCAGGTAGAAGATTACAAAAGAAGAACTCACTTTTCTATTAAGTATATCTATTATTAACAGAATAGTAAGCTGTATTAGAAAATGAAGAATTTACACAAAGATATCAAAAGAATATAGAAGAATTATAAGTGTTTAAAGATGATGCTTATCTTGAACCTTACAAATAACACTTTTAAGTAAGAAATACAAAATTCTTTGAATTACTTGAATAAATAGTCAAAGTTGAGTCATCTCTCAAAGACTTTGCAAAAGGGTAACAAGATCTATAAAAATAGATATGAAAAATATGGGTTTTTGATTTCTGATACTGGAATTACATATAAAGAATGGGCTCCTGGAGCTAAAGAAGTTTATTTGACAGGTGATTTTAATAATTGGGATAAAATGTAATATTCTCTAACATCTGATTCTTTTGGAAATTGGGAAATATTTTTACCAAGAAATGAAGATGGTTCATATATGATACCACATGGTTCAAGAGTAAAGACATATATAAAGGATGCAAATAATTAATATCAATTCAAAATTCCAGCATGGATTAGAACAACTTGGTAGAATGAATAAAACAAAGTATGTATAAATATTAAGATATTAAGATTTTTGACGGAGTATTTTATAATCCTGAAGTTAAGTATGAATTCAAACATAACAGACCACCGAAACCTAGATGTCTTAAAATATATGAAGTTCATATAGGAATGGCTGGAATCGAACCAAGAGTGCATACATTCAAGGAATTCACATAAATAGTATTACCAAGAGTAGTTAAATTGGGATATAATGTTATTTAAATTATGGCTATATAAGAACATGCTTATTATGGAAGCTTTGGATATCATGTTACAAACTTTTTTGCAGTGAGTAGTAGATTTGGTAGTCCTGATGATTTAAAAGAATTAATTGATACAGCTCATTAATATGGAATTACAGTTCTGATGGATTTAGTTCATAGTCATGCATCTAGTAATGTTTAAGATGGAATTAATCAATGGGATGGTACTGATTATTAATATTTTCATGCTGGTATTAAAGGGTAACATGAGTTATGGGATTCTAAAATATTTGATTATTCAAAATGGGAAGTTATTAGATTCCTTTTATCAAATTTATCTTGGTGGATAAATGAATATTAATTTGATGGATTTCGATTTGATGGTGTTACATCTATGTTGTATGTTCATCATGGTATTGGATATGGTTTCACTGGAGGATATCATGAATATTTTAATGAATAGGCTGATATTGATTCTTTAGTTTATTTAATGTTGGCTAATGATCTTATACATGAAATTTATCCTAATGCTATTACTATTGCTGAAGATGTATCTGGTTATCCAACTTTGTGTCGTAATATTAAAGAAGGTGGAATAGGATTTGATTATAGAATGGCAATGGCTGTACCTGATAAATGGATTAAACTACTTAAAGAATTCAAAGATGATGATTGGGATATGGGAGATATCGCTTACACATTAACTAATCGACGTCATTTAGAAAAGTGTGTTTGTTATGCTGAATCACATGATTAAGCTTTAGTTGGTGATAAAACTCTCTCTATGTGGCTATTTGATAAAGAAATCTATAGCGAAATGAGCACACTTTAACCAGAAACTTTAGTCACATTTAGAGGCATGGCTTTACATAAAATGTTGAGATTAATTACTTTTGCATTAGGTGGAGAAGGATACTTAAATTTTATGGGAAATGAATTCGGACATCCTGAATGGATAGATTTTCCAAGAGAAGGAAATGGATGGAGTTATCATCATGCAAGAAGAAGATGGGATTTAGCTGATGATTAAATATTAAGATATTCTAGATTATTGTAATTTGATGCTGAAATGATCAACTTAGAAGAAAAATATCCTTGGTTACCGAGTGGTGAATAATATGTTACAGAAAAACACAATGAAATGAAAGTTATTATTTTTGAAAGAGGATCTCTTCTTTTTGTATTTAATTTCCATCCAACTCAGGTATTTTATTATATTATCTATCTAATTAGTCATATGAACATTTTAAAGTTGGAACTAAATTTTAATCAGATCATCAAATAGTATTAGACACTGATGATGTTAGATTTGGAGGACATTCAAGAGTCTCTCCTTCTTATGGTCAGAATTTCCCAGTTATCAATGAAGAATGGCAAGGTAGACCTAATCATATAAAAATATATTTACCAAATAGATGTGCTATCGTCTTTAAATCAATTGAGTGATTTTTGTTTTTAAAAAGACATACATATAACGATTAATTTAATTTTAAAATGTATTCACTATAGAAATTAGTACCAAATAGTAAATTACAAATTAAGCCAGGGGCATTCTCTTAACATCAAAAATTAAATCAAAGTGTCGATGGGGTTTTACCTGTAAATTAATAATCTTTACAGCAACTTTAAACTTAAATATAGATATTGACAAAAAAAGAACCTATTCGCTAATAAAATAAGAAATAAGAGTTATTATAGATTTTAGAGAATGCCTAGGTAAACTCAAAATAAACCAAATCTATGTCACCAAAACGAACACCATAGAAATAAAAAAGTAACAGAAAATTGAATTTCAATTAAATTACAGATTAAGACAATCTATTTTTAAATTCTAGTAATGCTATGGCTAATATGATCATTGAAAATATTCTAAATAAAGATGAATATTATGAAAAAATCAAATTAGAAAATTAAGAACTTAAAGATTAATCCTCTAAATTTCAAGCTACAATAGGGGATCTTAAAAAGAAAATTATAACATTAGAACGTTAAAACAAAGAATTTAATACTAATCTAAGCAATGAACGTTAAAACTATTAAAATGAACTAATTAAAATAAATGAAAAAATTCAATCCATGAAAACTATGTAATAAAACTTATAAATGGAATAAAAGAAAAATGAATTGTTAACTAAATAATTGTAAGATTAAATCACTATTAATAATGGTTTAAAATCTTTTATCTGTGAGAATTGTTTGTTAAGTATTGAATTCTTGACATTCTTCTAAAACTCAGTATAAAACTTTTAACCACAATTAAGCAATGCATACAATATTTTAGTATCCTTATCAAAGCATTCAACATCTTTTATTTTAGATTTCATTTCCAAAACTCAGAATTTGAATTTACCTGCATTGAGAAATTGTATTTTACCAGAAGAATTTGATGTGAATGGATTTTTCGAAACTTTAGAATAACTAAAAATGCGTGAATCACCAGAATTATCCTTTCGTAATAAAAACAATAATGCTGTTAGATAAAGTATTCATGCTAATAATAATAATAACAATAATAATAATAGTAACAATAATAGTAATAATAATAATAATAATAATAATAATAATATTAATTTATCAATTCCAGAAATTCCAAAATAAAATAAAATAACAACTTTATAAGAATAATTCAATGCATTTCTTGAATCTAATGAACCATTTTCAGATTCTCAATTAGGTAGTCCTTATTTCACAGATTTAGATACGCTTGATAAATAAAGACCAATCAGTAAAGAAAAATAAAGAAATTAAATGCCTTTGTAAATGAATGCTGCTAAAAGAATCAAACCGGAAATTAATTAGGCTCCCCATTATTTTTAATCATTCAAATAAAATGACAATGAACCAACAGTTTTTGATTCCCTTATGAAAGAAGCTCCCATAAACAAAGACAGGTGTTCTTCAGTTCATAGTCTAAGATATTTAGATTAATAAATTTAAAAGGAATAAGACAAATCAACTAAAAGAAATAAAGAAAATTAATAAATTAATTGTTAATTTGTGATTGCTAAATACGACTATAAAGCTTAGAAGGTATTTTAATATAATATAAATTCGATAGGATATAGATTTAAGTTTTAAGAAAGGAGATTAAATTAAATTACTAAAAAAGACAACAAACGGCTGGTGGTATGGAGAAGATAAAAATTAAGTTAAAGGTTACTTTCCACATAATTTTGTTCAATTAGTAGGATGATTGTAGTTAAATAAATTAGTTTTCATTTTTTGATCTTAACTTTCCAAAACATAACTATTAAGCAATTTTATTAATTCTAAAGAAGATTCTATAACTAAATTGCTGTTTTTTTCAATTTAATCTGATATCGAAACACAGTGAAATTTCTATTTTTAATTTTAAAAATACCTTGTTTAATGGCATATTTGCAAATTAAAAAATTTACATGATCTTTTCCAACCATTCTCTATCAAATGAAATAATATTAGCAAATGATACTAGTCCCTTTTGATTTGTTTCAATTATTATTATCATTTTTAATAATTCTTCTATCTGTTAATATTGATGTTTTATCTTTATGGAATAATTTTCTTAACAAATTAAATAATCATCTATTTCTAATTTTAGTTCTTTAATTAAATTTGATAAGAAAACATTTGCAGCAGCATTTGTATCCACAATTTACTCTTTTAAAGATAAAGTGTAAATTTAATTTTTTTCTGTTAAATTTAAATGTTCCAAAAGAGATAATTATTATAATTTTGCTTTTAATTAATCATCTTTGTCAATAATTTATTAGAAATTGGTTTGATTATTTTATTTTATAAAAAGTCCATCTTAAGCAATTATATATAAATTATTAATGGATCCAAAGTTCAATTCCAATATTTCACAATCTTAATCAGAAACAATAATTAAAGTATTGTTATCATCTTTAGCTAACTTTTCAAATGCCTGAACTAATTAATCTAATTTTTAAATTTTCTTTATAAATTTTTAAGTAAAAGCAAGTATTATAATTTTTTAATTATCCTAAAAATTACGATTAGCAAATTTAGAAACAATGTTAGCTGTTTCAACAGAACAAAAGTTTTTATCTTTTAATCCTATTGTTAATTCTTTACCTGAATGATACAATTACTTATCAAACCAAAAATCTTCACAATAACTTAGATGATCATTTAACCTATGTAACCAATCATTACTGTTGGGAACATTAATGAATGTTGGTTTTTTATCATTCAAGTAATTCAAAATAATTTAAGCTGATTCTATAGAATTGTTAGGATTGATTTTTCTATGATCAACTTTTAATGAGCACCATTAGCTTGAGACTAATTTAGCTGCCTTCTTTCTAAATTATCGAACATAAATATATTCTAAATAATTTGAAGATATGCTCTCCCTTAATGAACTTTTTATGAAAACGTCAGCCATTCCATAAAGACTTATTAATTCATTTTAAGAAAGATCAAGTCTAATTTAAATTAAATCCTATTATTAATTTTGATTAATTTATTTTGCTAAAGTAGTGATTTCATCATAGTATTTTGATATTTAAGAATTGCTTTAATAATCCTCATCATTATTAGTATATAAGACTTGAATTAATTTAATTTATTATTGTTTTAATAAATGAATTTATTCAACTATTTTGAATTTTTATGGTAGACCACTTAAGAGTGATAAACTATCAACTCCAAGAAGTGTGAATTGTTATTATGATATTGTTTCTTCTACACTTATTATGTTTTATAATTATTTTATATTTAATCCAACACTTCCATAATCTAATATAATTTTTCTACCTAAGACTTCAATAGTATAGGCACTCATATCAGATAATCTAGTTAGTTTTTAGTATTTTTATGGTAAGCAATGCATAAATTAATACAAATCTTTTAATTATGTTAATGAAATTAGATCACTCATTAATAAAGAAGATAAAATATTTTCACTGCATGTAAGAATTCGAAATTGCTTAGGGTTTGGAAAAGATCTTCTCATTATAGTACAAATTCTTGGTCTACTTTCATTTTTTTTAATCAATCCTTCTTTTATATAAAAAGGAACCAAAAAGAGGTGATAGTCAAAAATGAAAATAGAATGTAAATGGCTAAATTAGTTTTAAAATAAAGTGCAATGTAAGGCCTCTTAAACATATTTTGCAAAAATTTTATTGATTTCCATATAATCATCTTCAGAGTGTAATCTCAATTACGGAGATAAGTTATTAAAGACAGGAGTTATTAGCTAAGAAAAACAGCTTAATACGGCATCGTCTAACTTAATTCCAAAGCATTTGTACTATTCATACACATATTGTTGTATAAGAATAAATTCATTCTCATCTGCAATTTAAATTCCAATCCATCCTATCCATATTGCTTTCAAACTTAATCGATTACTAAAGAGGTTGTACATATTAATAAAATAAGGATCTGAAGTCAATTCAAACTTATATTTGTTTGTAATGTCTAAATATAGTTTTTTAATCAATATACCTTTCTTATTTGTCACTTTACAGAATTAATTGTTTTAAATTATTTTAATAGGTATCTTAAATGACAAACAAATCACATAAGAATCTGAGAATATTTAAGTTGAAGAAGAACGCTTTCTTTTATAATCGAAAATCAAATCAGATGATCCGTATTATTCAGAAATTTTTCTGAGTTTCGATATTGACTTTAATTTTTGTTTACATTCAAAATGACTCTAATTTGGATAAAGTGATTATAATACCTTTATTATTTCTTTCCAATCATTTTCCTATTAATGAATTGAAGTACTTGAAGGTGCTCTTATCTCAGTTCCTAATTCTGGGATGCTTTCATTGTCAGACTTAAAATTTATAGATTATTATACTGAATCTAAAGCATTATCAAAAGGATCATAATCTCTTGATCTATTAAGTCTTTAAACTTTCACTAAAATACATTTTATCTGGATACATACTTAACTCTTCTTGTACAAATTCATCTGAGATTTCATATTTTTAAAATGTTCTAATATTCATCGAGGGTTTATTGAATGTCATATACAGGAAATTGCGTCTAAAATCACACTTATGTATTCGATTTTGGATGCTCTCCCAAATAAAAGTATCTCCATCTTGAATAAGACACTTGAATTCTAAATTAAAACCTATTTGCTTAAAACGATAATTAACTTGGATCAATTTGAATTTTGCTCTCGTGGCTCCATTCTGGGTAAGTTTCGCTTTTGGTGCATAATGGATAAGAATTTTGAGGATTCCATTAACCAAGGAGTGGATGATTCCCACAAATTCGAACAATTTGTGAATATCTCGTCTCTGCTATAACCTTAAAACTAATATATGACATCTTAAATTATAAGAAGTATAATTTATAAAATATGTCAAGAATTGGCCTTTCGTTGCTATTATGATGGCAAAACAATATTTTTATGTGCTTCCCTTCATAATATGATAGAACTAAAGTGTCTTTATAAATTTACAATTATGAAATTCTAAACAGAACTAAGATTAGGAATTTAAAAAGAGGAAGGAGGGGAATTACAAATAGTTAAAAATTATTAAATAATGAGTAATGATATGTAATGGGAATAAATAGAACAAATAAAGCTGATATGATTTTTTGAAATGCTCATACAGATATCAATGTTATGATAAGAAAAGGAATGAAAAAAAGAGTTGAAAGCTAAATTATGTTGTAAAAATAAATGATTTGCAAAAGAAGACGTAAAATAAGTAATTAGAGAGAAAATTGTAGATGATTTGTAGAGAAATAGTATTTAGGTGGAGAGATATTTATTTTATAATGATGTAAAAGAATTAGAATAGAAAAAAAAGGGTAAAAAAGTTATTGTTATAAGAAGATATTTTAAGATGTTTAGAAATAATATTTGATAGATTGATTGTTTGAGAAATGATTAGATAAAGTTTATGTAGAAAGCTAAGTAAAGAATCAATTAATAATAAATAAATACTGGAATTATTGTTAAGATAGTTAGAGTGAGTGTTCTTTGTAGATAATTGATATTAAAAAAGGTTGAAAGAAGAGATAATGATGATTGTTTTTGATTTTATATATTGTGATAAAAATCACTTAGATTATCATGCTTCGCCTTCTTCTTCGAATTCACCTTCTTCTTCAGCGGTGGCATCTTAATATTATTGATATTCAGAGACTAAGTCGTTCATGTTGGATTCAGCTTCAGTGAATTCCATTTCGTCCATACCTAGAGAGAATACAAAAGGATAATATACCTTCACCAGTGTACCAATGTAAGAAAGCCTTTCTTCTAAACATGGCAGTGAATTATTCAGCAACTCTCTTGAACATTTCTTAGATGGCAGTTGAGTTACCAACAAATGTGACAGCCATTTTCAATCCTTTTGGTGGGATATCACAGATTGATGATTTGATGTTATTGGGAATCCATTCAACAAAGTAAGAAGAGTTCTTGTTTTAAACATTAAGCATTTATTCATCGACTTCCTTGGTTGACATTCTTCCTCTGAAGAGAGCAGATGCTGTTAAATATCTTCCATGTCTTGGATCAGCAGCACACATCATATTCTTAGCATCAAACATTTATTATGTTAATTCAGGGACTGTAAGAGCTCTGTATTATTATGATCCTCTTGATGTAAGTGGAGCAAAACCAATCATGAAGAAATGGAGTCTTGGGAATGGAATCAAGTTAACAGCCAATTTTCTCAAGTCAGAGTTTAATTAACCTGGGAATCTAAGACAGCATGTAACTCCTGACATAGCAGCTGATACCAAGTGATTCAAATCACCATAAGTTGGGGTTGTCAATTTCAATGTTCTGAAACAAATATCATACAAGGCTTCATTATCAATGACCATGCATTCATCAGCATTCTCAACCAATTAATGGACTGAAAGTGTTGCATTGTATGGCTCAACGACTGTGTCAGACACTTTTGGTGATGGGACAACTGAGAATGTTTCCATAATTCTGTCTGGATATTCTTCTCTAACTTTTGAAATCAACAATGTTCCCATTCCTGATCCTGTTCCACCTCCCAATGAGTGAGTGATTTAGAATCCTTATAAGCAATCACATCCTTCAGCTTCTTTTCTAACTACATCCAAAACTGAGTCAATTAATTCTGCACCTTCAGTATAGTGACCCTTAGCCCAGTTGTTACCAGCTCCTGTTTGTCCAAAAACAAAGTTATCTGGTCTAAACAATTGTCCAAATGGTCCAGCTCTGACTGAGTCCATTGTTCCTATTATTCATATAAATTATTCTATACCTGGTTCCAAATCCATAAGAATAGCTCTTGGGACATATCTTCCTCCTGTTGCTTCGTTATAGTAAACGTTGATTCTTTCCAATTAAAGATCAGAATCTCCATGATATGTTCCTGTTGGGTCAATACCATGTTCGTCTGAAATGACTTCCCAGAATTTGGCACCAATTTGATTACCACATTGTCCTCCTTGAATATGAACGATTTCTCTCATTGTGACGGTTACGAAAAAGGATTTTTTTTTTTTATGTTTGAAATTTGAATTTCTTCATAGCTTTGAATCATAAAATCCACCCCCATCAATACATTATTATGCTTCCAATTAATTAATAACTGATTTATCAAGTTATATACAATAAATATTCAAATTTAAACCACTTTCATTTCTATTATTTTCTCTATTTCTTCATATACTTCCCATCTTTTTTCTCATCTATATCCTTTGTCCTTTAAGTTATACTTTTTTTTTCATCTCAACATTCTTTTTTTCTCTATCTCTTTATCTTTTTTTCAATACTATTGATAAACATCTTTGTTTTGTTCCCTCTCAACTTTCAAACCTAAGACCTGCATTAATTCTTATATTTTATCCTAAATGGACAATAATTATTTAATATATATAATAGTCCTTTTTCTTATTGACAAAATAAAGTAAATTAAAATCATTTATATCGTACATGAGCAGCCAAATAAGAAGGAATAATATACTGAGGCTAATGATGGATAAAATGATTAAAAAAGGTTCTCCGAAAATTTACACTTTTTTATGTGTGGATAGTCAACATGTCTAAGGTATAAAAATTAGTTTGAAAAATTTGTCAATTCATCATTAGCTTTTTATAAAGTTGAAACATATTTCTGCTAAATAAAATATATTCTCCCCCTTCCAAAACCAAGAAGTTATTGGTATATCTATTGATCTATTATATTGTGGCAAATTTTCTATAATTTTTTATAGCTATAAGCAATATACATTAGGTAATATCATTGAAGCCAACCCATAATCTAAATAGCCAAAGAGTTCATGAAAAAAATTTTTAGAAGAACGTAAAGCTATTGTTGTTAATACAAGGATCTTAGGGAATTTATATAAAGTTGAATTCTTAATTATTGAGCCATCCTGTGATAGTTAATTGTTCAAATTATGTTTATTATAAATTAAGGCTCCAATCAATAGATTCTTAAATAAAATAGTTGCCCATTACTTTTTCAATTATAAATTGATATTGGATGTGTTCTTATTAAAAAGGCAGAATAAAAAAAGGAACATGAAAATAAAAGTAGGATAAAACCAATAATGTAATGGCATAAAATAGAATACAAAAAGATTCTATTAAGAATTAGTTAATGTATTTTTAAACAATCATATCTAACAAGATTAACTTATAACATAAATTATTAATTTATTTCAATACGATTATCTTTTTAATTACTGATTCTCTTATTCTAATTAGGAGATCCTCTAAACTAAATTACTTTGTTCTTTCATGTGTTGATCAAGTAATTATTGCATTTCATTTTGTTAAATTTAAAATTATCTAATCATGTCAATATGCATTGAACTAACACTATCTTACACAATCTTTTTTAATTGATAAGTTTATTCATTAATCTATTGTTGAATAAATTTCTTTTACTCATCAGTAAAACTAAATTAGAATAGAATATATACTCATTTTATCCACTAATAACTCTGCTAACCTCATATTTTCTAGAGATATCCTCAATTTTGTTTGTAGACTAATCGAATTTTGATTACTAAGTTGATTAGACTCGAGATTGAACTATTACCTAAATGAATTGGATTTAGTTTACATTGATCAAATTATATTTGTTTTTATTATTCAATTTTAATCATAGACTCTTTATTACTTAAAGCATTTAGATCTTTACTACTATCTTTTTTCATTTCTAAAATCATAGGGGATTTGGCTTAATTCATTTTAACTTAGGATTGTACACTAAGATTGCTTTCATTTAAAAGTCTTTAGGATGGTGGAGGTTATTGAGATTAAGATTCAATATTTTAGTATTCCATAAAGTTAACACTAGAATTATCATGCCCTCTAAACTATAATTTATGTTTTTAAGTCATTCGTATATCGTAAACATAAATTTATCCATAAAGAGTGCCGACGGTAACAGAATAATCATCATTTTACATAGCAACAGAATTAAGTGGATTTTCACAAGCAATTGTATGAGTAACCTTTTTATCAACAATACTATAAAGATAACATTTTTAATCAGTTCCCACACTACAGACTAAAGATTGTGTAACGCTTAGTCCTGTAACTTTGCTTGTATGTTACTATGAAAAATTGCATTGATATTCATTTTTATTTAGATCAAAGATTGTCACAGATCCATCATTACTACCTGAACATAAAAGATTCTTGCTCATGAATTTAACTGCTTTGAACCCAGGAGTTTTAGATCCTTTTAAATTAAAAGTGGATACTGCTATCTATGTACTTACATCATGGACTAAAATATCGCCTACATTAGAGGCACTTGCAATCAGATTGTCTGAAGAATTCCAATGTAAAGAATTAATCTAAGAATAATGTCCTTTGAGTTGACTTTGAATTGTTTTCTTTTTCAAATCCCATACCCGCACAATTGAATCATGCCCTCCACTTGCTAAATATTGACTATTTGATGTGAATGAAATTGCATTTATAGCTTTTCCATTATGCTCTAAAGGTAAGAGTGATTAACCATCAGCAGATCGACTCAAAACTATAACTCCATCATTACCACAACTTGCTATAACACAATCTATTAAATTTAAAAACTTCAATTACTATTATGATTCCATACACAACAATTGATACTCGATTTATGTGGATTGATTCTTAAAATTGGGTCGATTGATTAATCATGGATAAGGATGCTTTTCCCACAAGAAACCAATTAACTCATTTTTAATATATAAAATAATGTTTGATTTAATGATTTCATAATTTATATCAACATTTCAAAAACATCTTTATCTTTCTTTTTTATTCTCTCTCAAAATTTTTTATTTTTTCACTTTTCATTTAACAAATTTTGTTATTTTAGGATGACTACAACTATTTTAAATTTATAAATAAAAGCTTTATAAATCATTGAATCTTATTTTAGCTTATCACTCACAATCAAAATTTCTTAAAATCTTTGATTTTATCTTACTCGAATTAATTAATCCTATTTATTTTACTTTAAGGGTATAAATATTTTTAATAATATAGTATATCAAAAAGACTATTTAATATTAAATAGAAATCAAATCTAGTAAATATAATTGAGTTTCTTCAAAGATAATTGATCTTTCTAGTAATTTCGTTTCTCATAAAAAAAAGATAAAAATCATAACATTTTTGCAAAATTCTGTTAATCTAAATTAAGAATTTTATTATCACGATAAAATTTTTCTTGTTCTCTCAACATTAAAGTCTTCAAAATAATTAGTAAGAATTTCTGCCATCTCTTTTGATTATTGACTAAACTATATATTTATTTGAAAGTTTTTATGAATTTTTAGAACTTTTTCCCCATTTAAATTTATATATATTTTTTTATTTCAGATTTTTAATTCTTTTGATTTATTTATGAGAAAAGCATAAGCAAACAACAATTGCTTTTATTGAATTCAATCAACACTTTTATTTCAATAAGATGAAATTATTTTAATCTTTTCTAAGTAAAATCAAATTTATCCTCTAACTTTTTTTTGAATTATAAAGAAAAATCTATTTGTAATAAGTCTTTAAATAAAAAGCTTCTTCAAAATACATAAAAGTGTTTTATTAATCCATAAATTATTATAATTGTATGCATAGTAGGCAACATCTGTCTATCAAGTACCTTGATGGGCCTAAATTAGATTCAACTCAAGTTCGACGCAAAAGCTGTGTTTGTGAATAGTGTGGGAATACAGCTCCAAAAGAAGATCGTCTACCAAATTAATTATGCGAAATTGCCTACCATAAGTAAGAACGACTAGCAGAGATTTTCCTTGGCAAATTAGATGGAGCAAGAAAATATCTGAGAAATGAACATAAAAAAAGAAACTTTCGAATTTATGCAAAAAATCCTTTATTTATACTACGTTCTTAACCAGATTTGGAAGAAAGTATACACTTACCAACTTCACCAACAAAGACCCACACACCAGAAAAAGAACGTTTAAAGACTGAATAGCCTTAGATTTCATCTTATAGATCGTACAAATATGTTCCAACTTCAAATTGCTTTCTGTAAAATATGAAGCAACAAGTTATGCGTTCTAATAAAACAATCAATAGATTACTTAAAGATAGAAAGGCGGTCCAATCGCTTCAGTTTTCAACCTCTGACAGACTACCAAATACAAAATCTCCATAAAAAAACAAAAGAAGCTTTACTAAATAATTAAAGCCCCTACCCAAATAGAAATTACTTTAAACTAAATTTGACTGTATGATCAGACAATTCTTTAACTCATCTAAAACCAAATAAAATTGAAAAAATGATTAAAATTTTTTGTGTTTATTAAACAATATTACATGCAAGAGACAGAGCAATAGGAAAAAAGATATGATAGGTTGATTCCCTTTTTGATGGCAAGTAATTTACTTAATTTTTCAGATGATGAACAGAATTTCGATCATCCTTAACCAAATCACGATAACATTCATTATCTGTATAAATGATTTCCTCTATATAATCTTTTAGCCTAACAAAAGTTTCAAAAACCTAAGAAATACTCCCGTTCTAAATGAAGATCCAATATATTTTGATAGAAATATTAAAATAGTTTTTTAGAATTTCCCTCTATCGATCTGAGCAATTATTATATTACAATGGAGCCTGCATTTATTTAATAACAATAACATTCCTTAAGTCAAGAATTCCACTAATATATTCTTCTCCAACAACCAATTTATTCTCTCTGCTAAGATTGCTCTTTCTCTTAGAAAAGAACAAAAAAATTACAATTATATAAAGAGAATGACACTACAATTGTACCATAAATTGATTTAATAAACCTAGTCCCTACGATGTTAATATCAATATGCTTCCTTAATTATTCAATAGTTCTATATCTACCTCTTGATAAATGCGCCTAATTTATAGATCATACAATTTATAAGATTAAATGTCCTTAACAAATTAGATCAAAGGGTGTTGTTCAAAAAGAACGATTAACAAAAAAAAAGGAGAATATAAATTCAAGGCAAGGAAACAGATTTAATTTTATGAGTGAGAAGGATTAAAAAATCTGTAATTGCTTCTATTCTTAATGTTTCTGTCGGATAGGTCAGAATGAATTTACAAATGATCTCAGACCCAAATATAATGAGGAAATTTACCTAGAAATTAGGAAAAAAAATGGGTAGTAAATGAATGTTCAAAATCCACCAAAAGTGCTTCCAGGTTATTAAAGAAATATTAAATTACTTTTATCCA